TAGCGGCTGCAAGAGGCTCACACTTTTGTTGTATAACTGTTACCTGCAGCGTTATTAGGTTGTATAGCTGTTCTAGCTGTTCTAAGAGGGTTTTGCCAATGTTCTTACAGTATATAATGCTGTGTACGGAATACTGTATAATCATTCTTGCAACTTTAATAGGAGTGATAATTGTTAGTTGGGTAGTATCTATATGTGTCGGATCCTATTTCCATACCTTATGCTACCAAGAACGTTTCAGAATTCAACACTAATTTCGATGCAGTGTAGTTAGACTCGCGTATTCCAACTGCGGCTTGACTATATGGAAGGGTATTTATAGTCCTGTGCTTCGTTTACTTTCTGCGATGATTCTGGCGCATATATAGCTCTACCTGTGAAATCGAGAACCAGGTTCTTAGACTGATTGATTCCTCAGCCGATGGCTTTGGCGACGTATGCGCAGATACTGCCTCTTACTAGGTTAGCTTGCTGTTCCCACTCATACCTTTGAGGAGCAGTCTAAACATATTAGACGAAAATACCCCTGGTTTGCGAAATAATTGTAAAGTTTGGCTTTATTGCTGCAAGTTGTTCAAGGGGGTATTCAAAGCATGGACGCATAAAATGGGTACACTAATTTTTGCGGGAAAACTTTTTATTCGACAACAAAGTATGAGAAAACGTGTTTTTGGGATTCAATCGAGAGTGTTAGCAGGAACGGAAAAACTCTTTATATGAGATTTTTAGGTGTTTATGAGACCTACACAATGAGACCACACGTAAAAGATCCGCAAAAAAGTTATGGCCGAAAACCGAGGCAAACTGCAGGTTCTAGCACTTGTTGATAATGCGACGATGGTTTCTCGCAGATACCTGAAATTCTTTATATTCGTAAGATTCGTACTTCTAAATAGCCACAACAAAATTGAAGTAGCTTGGTCAAGTAGTTTTTGAGAATTTCTAATTGTTTATCCCAACACGCCTGTTTTCCGACCATCACAACTAGCTTATTGAGCAATATATAGGGTTAGCTCAAAGGGCATTTTATAGCAAAACTAGTTTACCTTGCCGATATAAAATCGCAAACCATTCCGGAAGATAAATGTTATTCTTTTCCAAAAGTCATGGGTTACATCTGGCTACCCAGCCCTCATGTGATATTGATAGATAGCAACCAAGTCTAATTTTTAGAGTTACAGTGTGAACGAGATCATTATAAAGAAGTATCCTTGGCTCTATTTTGTACAAAAGTGCTAAAAAGGCGATGTGAAACTGCAAAAAAAAATAATACGGAACTAATAGAAATGTAGGCTTATTGCTCATTGGTAACTACATATTTAACGTCACAAAAAAGTATACACAATTACAAGAATAGTCCATACTTCCAGCATTTTGTGTACTTCATCAGACATAAACGTGCAGTTTTAGTTTGAGCCTATTTTTAAACTTAAATAGTGTGTAGCTTTGGAACGTAATAGGCAGATCATTATAGATCTTAATAGCGTTGTATATAAATGATTTTTTGTATCCTGCTTTAAAATGTAAGGGTATAACTAACGTATTTCTATTCCTTGTACTTAGTTGATTTATGTCGCTACATCGTGCAACTTTTTGCAAATTTCGTGGTGGTTTGTGGCCAATACCTTATGTGTGAGTGTCAATGAGTGGAGTTTTTGCATGCCTTCAGTCTGCAGAATAAAAAGCTCCTTAAATGTATGAGAAATATCAAACTTTCGTATTCAGCGAGAAAATCTGACGCACGTCTTCTGAATACGCTGTAATTTGTTCCGCTCACTATAAGATACAGCGAGGCCATATACAGGGTGTTCCATATTTACTGCGACAAAATGATAGGGGTTGTAGAGGGCATAAAAATATGCAATTTTGCCTTATAAACCCCTGTTCGTAAATATGCCGTTTGAGCACTACAGTTAATTTCACCTTAAGAGCTCATAGGAGAAACAAAAATTCACCAGCTGCAAAATGTTCGTCTAGCACATTTCATGGTCTCACCGGTTTGTAAAAAAAGCCTGCTGTGTTTACATTTTTGTTATCGTACACCCGTACCACCTTTTAAAAGTCCAAGCCATGGGTCCAGCAGACTATCTGCCGCGTCGACGTTTTTGCCGTTGGTGGCTGCAGCAGGAGTTGAGGCAACCAAACTTTGGTCGCTACGTTTTGTTCACTGACGAGTCCTGTTTTACAAAGGACGGTTATTTTAATAGCCATAACAGTCACATTTGGGATGAAGAAAACCCTCATGCCATAGCCATCCATAGAGAGCAACATCAGTTTTCAATTAACATCTGGTGCGGCATTGTGGACGAGCATATCATCGGGCCATATCTGCTTCCACCACGTTTGGATGGGCATGCTTATGGTCGATCCTTACAGCATGTGCTACCGGAACTATTACAAAATGTGCCACTGAATATAAGAGCCAACATGTGGTTTCAACACCATGGCGGTCCAGCCCACTTTTCTTTACAAGTGCGGCAGTATTTGTATGACAATTTCCAAATAGGTGGATAGGCCGAGGTGGCCCTGTGCCTTAGCCTGCGCGGTCACTTGACCTGACCCCACTGGATTATTTTATCTGGAGCTATCTGAAAGCTTTAGTGTACGAAACTCCTGTTCCCAACTAACAAGAGCTACTGGGAAGAGTGATGGCCGCGTCCGCACATGTTCAGGACATACCGGGGGTATGCCACAGAGTTCGCCGATCATTGAACAATCGTGCACAGCTGTGTATTGAGCAAGGTGGAGGACACTTTGAGCAATTACTGTAGGTAAGCTGTTTCAAGAATCTGATCTTTTTTTTTGCTGCAGCCCAAACGGCATATTTCCGAACAGGGGTTTATAAGGAAAAATTGTTCATTTTGATGCCCTCTACAACCCCTATCATTTTGTCGCAATAATTATGGAACACCCTGTATAGTGTCGCAATAACTGATTTTGACATTACTAATGTTTCACACAGTTAAAGCTTTAGTGAAGGAGACATTATTTGACTATGCGGATAACGCTGCTTCAAAATGCAGTATGCTGCACTACATAAGTAATTAATTCACATGCTTTCTGCATTTTAGTTCTGGATCAAGTTTTATACTCACTCATCATAGGAAGCCGGTTATTATAGATTTTAAGATTAATTTCAGTTTCGATAGATGTTTTTTTGTTTTTTGAGCCGAAAACCATGATTGAAGATTTAGATGGACTAATTTTTAGGTTATGATATTTCATTGATTAATGCCTCTGCCATTTCAAAATTAAACTAAACAAGGTTGAGTATCATCGGCACATATCTCCAATGGTGAATCTCTATGTCAAAACCTGAACCTGTACAGCATCGCTTCAAATTTGTAGTGACGACTAGCTATTCGTCGAATTCCTTATTTCTTAATGGCGAGCCTCGTCATAGTTTCTCCATCCAACATTTCACCTTACACCGCCGTACGTACCCTGCCCTTCGCCATGGAGCTAATAATGGAGTAGATTATGAGCCGGTGCCTGAGTGTCATGCAAAGTGTAACCTGATTTCCTCTTCGCAGCTCACTACGATGATGGGAAGAAAACTAACGCTCGTTGCGTAGCATTCTGTCGCGGAGTGCAGCGAAGGACTCTCAGATGACAAAGGGGTTGTTAGCATCAACTTGGATGTGAATACATTAAGAGTTGCGGTGGAGTTTTCGGTGGATGCTGCGGAGCTGCCAGGCATAAGGATAAGATCTTATCTGTTTGTATTTATATTTATCTATATTCCTCACTTTTATTGGAAAAACGAGTTGAGAACGGGTTGAAATCCAGTTGACAGTGGGTTGGTTTCGGAACTGGTCAAAATCGAAGATAGCTACACTGCCGTACTAAATGGCAGTAGAGAGTTAAAATCGATGTCTGAGAAAATTGAGATCAAAATTCTGGATTTTTCCAACTAAATAAATAGTATTATCACCACAGAATAAAAGTGAATAGATATTGCAAAGTTACACGACTTAATAAAGAGTAATTTAGATATGATTTCGGTGCATGACACAGAACTGCAAAATTTTTTTAAAGCTTTTTTGGTCGCTTTAATTGATTTATATTGTTTGTGACGCACTGAATCTAAATATGAACTGCGTTTTGCCGTAACGCGTCACGTTTTTTGACAAATTGGTTGTCAATTTTTTGCCAGGTGACACTCGTATGAGATGCAAGTAGTGAAGTATGTGAAGTCATGTCTATCATTTTAAAAGTTTATTTTTTAATACAAGCGACTCAGTGAACTGACTTCTTGATGTCTTTGTGGAATCGTTCCTCTTGCTCTTTACTCACAGCACCCAAGTTCTCAGGGAAATAGTGCAGGTGACATTTAAGAAAATATACCTTCTGGCTCACATGACACCAAATTATTCAGAACATGTTGGCATCTCTTTGACTATATTTTTATAATCAGGATCTTTATTGCTGTCCAAAAATTTTCCCACAACATCCTTAAGTGCGAACGATCATTCCCTCTGGAGATCTGTCATGGTGTTGACAAAATTTTGATCCTCTATGGGCTTTCTGAAATCTGGCCCACCAAATACACCTTCTTTTCATTTTCCCTCCAACATATCTGGAAACTTCAGGTATTTGAAATATCCTTCGTCTTTTGAGAGAAATTTTACGAAACATTTCATAAGGGCTAGTTTTTAATGAAGGGGAGGGAGTTTTCTCGTAGAAGATGGTGTCAACCAACCGTAAGCGTCCTTGGCTTTCTCCCGACCAATGATTTTTTCACATGCTGTTTCAAAAACAAGGACATTTGGAGAAACCAGCTTGGTGACCCAGCATCTTTTACAAGTTCTTCAAATCACCGCATAGTTGCCAACCATGATCTTCATATTTTAGCTTCTTAAGAATTACGTCCAAGTTCTCATAAGTCTCTTTCAAGAACACAGAATGTACAACGGAAATGAAAGCATAGAAACTTCAATATCATTACAGTAAACTAGATTTTCGTCTTCAATAAAGTAAGGTAAAACATTCTTTTCAAGATGCCTGAACCAAGAAAAAGACTCTCCAGCTAGCAATAAATCCTTGAGTAGTGATCTAAGCAACTCAGCAGCGTCTTTGGGAAGATCCAGATCGCTCACCAAGTCATTTATCTCTACCTGGGAGAACAATATTGGTATAGTGTCAGAACTTGAATTTCGTCTTGATCGTCTTGAGGTTGTACTTCACCTTCATCTGAGTCTGGTATCTATCCTAACATAACATGGGGCTTTGGAACAGGTATTTTTGCATCATGAGGAAGGGGACGAGTGTTAAGGAGATTTGGGTTTGATATGGAATGCTTCCATTTTGTGTTGAACCCTTTGACATCACACGAGCAGAAGTAGTAGTCGTCACTATGGTTATTTTGTTCTCGCCATACCATAGGTACCCCAAAACGGAAACCTTTCTTTTTACACTTAAACCACAAACGAAGGTCATCCACAAATCTTTTGCAAACTTCGAGGGGCACAGACCTTGTCTTGATCACCAAGTTTTATTCCAAAATATGCAAAACACAATTTCTTTACAAAGTCTGTTATATTGAGTAGTTGCTTTAAAACTGTATATTCGCTACAGATAAAACAAAAGCACTCAGGTGAACTTACGTACTTTCGCGAGACCATTTTACGAAATTATTATGTAAACAAAATCTTAATAATATCAGAGGGTCGCTACACCAAGGGAATACTGACAAGGTAAATAAATGAGAGAGATGGAGGGGTTAAATCAAAGGCATGACGTTCACAAAACAGCTGATCGGAACTAACCACGTGTTGTTATTTGGCCTGAGATACTCGCGGCGTCGCCTCATGTGATGCAAATGCTAAAATATCTGTCATGGCTTAGATAAGGGAAAATAGGCTAAACCTGATTTCGCATTCTGTGTAAAATTCTGACGTGGTAGGCATTTTCTGATATCAAACTCCATAAGAATCAGTTGAAATCATCCAAACAGTTTTTTTTGGTTATAGACCTGTGTAATTGTTGACGAGACCTAAAATAAATGATATTAGATCTTTAATTGTTCTAAATCAAAAGGCAATAACATTGACTTTTACAGCTTACTTTTACCCTGCAAGAACAAATTTATTAATTTTTTCGTGATTTGCATAGTCTATTTATATTACTTTTTCAAAAGAAAAACGCAGATTTTCATTTTGTTTCCATACAATTTATTCATAATGAATTTCAGGTAAATAGCACTTAATAATTATATGATTACATTTGATAGTTACAACAAACCGAAGTAATTATATAAATAAACTAAATACAGCATGTTTTCTTATATGTTAAGCTATACAAAGATAATTTTACACAATCATTCTTTTGCAGCAAGAGTAATTATTCATAACGACAAATGTTCATACACAAATAACAGAATTATTTTACACGGTGTTAATAAAGTATGTAGACCAACTTTAACAATCGAATCCTTGGTCAATTTGAAGACTAAATGCTCATATGAACATGGGTCCGTAACGGCTTTCTTTTCGAGCTAGAGCACTATCACTAAAGAAATACGAGTAATGTTCGAAACATTTCTATGAATCGTTAAACGTTTTTATTGGACAGTTGGTAACCTATGGTAAATTTTGCATATTTTACAAGTTGCTGAGGCTCAATATGAACGTGGATGCAAATAGTATTATCCAGTATTTTTGGAAAAAAAATTAATTAGAAGGTCAACAGTAACATTCGAATAGAACGACAACAGTAGAAAATAGCGAATAGTTGACCAGACCAGAGAACAAATATTTGACAGCTGTTGTCAGCATTCTTTAGGCAGCAGCGGTGGCCACAGTAGTAGACTCTTCGGTCTCCTGATCAGTCGCCGTGCGCTGTGCGGATTCGAGTCCCCTCCCAGGAGAAATTTTTCTCTTGGCTATGGATGTTGTGATTGTCCATAGGTGGTAGCCGGTGTCTGACTGTCGAACGTGGAGGTACCATCCGGAGGTTCTCGTAGGCGGAGCCAGAATGTGTACATGTTGCATGCACACGTGTTCCCTCGCCAAAGTCCGTGTGCCGTCCCCCGTATAGCCCCACGGTACCCAATGGGTACATAGGTCTTAGGCCCTCGTGGTAGTTGCAGCATAAAAAAAGAATTATTTGAGAAAATTACTTAATTCAATTTTTTTCGGGTACGTCATAGGTGTCTAGATAAGCACAATGCTTAAATATTAAAAGCATTGCGATCAAAACAAATCAATGTCATGCTGCTTTTTCAAAAAATACTGGATAACGTTATCCGTATCTACGTACATGAAGGGTTTGAAAACAACTGTAGATCATGTGATATCCATCACAGGGCATACTTAATTAAAATAAAATAGGTTCCATTCTTTTATAATTTTTTAGAACAATATACAGCGGTGCCAAAGCGAGTGCAGACTGTGACTTATGACCACTGACGGCGACGCTTGTCCATCGGGGATGACGTTGCACGTATCGACATCCGACTTTAGAGGGGATATTTCTAAGTATACTAAGGAGGACGTTGCAAATTGAGCAATCTCCTACCCATCATGTCCCACACGTGCTCAATTGGGGATAAGTCGGGAGATCTTGGTGGCCATGGTAACAATGTGACATCATTATGTTGAAAGAAGTCTATTGTGACTCTTGCAACATGTGGTCGTGCATTATCTTGTTGGAAAGTTGGATCTGCCAGGGTGTCAAGATAGGGTAAGAGATGGGGTTCTAGAACTTCGTGGATATAACGCTGCGCGTTCATGTTACCTCTGATGAATATTAAAGGTGACCTGGAACCATAAGCTATAGCACCCCAAACCATAACTCCAACAGTGTGATGAACATGTCTTTCAACAAAAAACTCCTCCTCCTCCTTTCACCACGTCGCCTTCTAACCCTGGCATGACCATCGTGCATGCCTAAACAAAATCGAGACTCGTCACTAAAGACAATACTGTTCCATTCCTGATCCCAGAGTGACTGTTGTCTGCACCACTCAAGGCGATTACGTCGGTGTTCTCGAGTTAAAGGGAGGACCCAGTGTGGCCGGTATGAAAACAAGCCAAAACTTCTCATTCGTCGGTAAACACTTCGCATGCCAATAGGTCTTCCGTGTTCTGCAAACCATTCATTTGCAATGGACCTGTTAGTGGAGAAACGGTCCCTTAAGGCCAATAATCTTAGGCGGCGATCTTCACGGTCTGTTGTTCTACGGCGGCGTCCAGTGCCCCTTGCTCTTTGCGTACGGCCTTCTCGAAGCCATGCCTGACAACACCTAACCACAGTGTCTACACTTCTTTGCACTCTAACTGCAATTGCCCGAAAAGAAAGTCCAGCTTCCCGAAGTCCCACTAGACTGCCCCTATCAAACTCACTAAGTTGACGAAATCGTACAGGTCTCCGTACTCTAGGCATCGTAACCGATCGTAAAGGATGTCAAGAACCAAAATCCGCCAACGTTGATTCTTTACTGCGGCTGAAATATTCATTTTTAGAGCGTTAGTGAATTAAAAAAAAGCAGTATAAAAACCGGAATGTCCAACTGATAAGGCTGAACATTTTTTCACTTGTTATTTACCGTAAGATAAATACATTCACCAACTTTTATTAAAATAAAACCATTTAAACTGGGTGTTCGGATTTATACGTCACTTAGTATATACATATGTACGGGGACATCTATGAAGAGTGAAATATGTCTAATATATGGGTAGAATTAATGGGGTTGGAGCCATATAAATATACCAACATCATAAAATTTAGGTATGTGATATGTAAATGAACTGAACTGCATTTTACCTTAGTACGGCATTATAGTAAAAGCCACTAGTACCTAGATCATGAATAAAGGTTTGAGCTCTACTCCTATCTACGACATTTCCAAGGAATTTAAAATGTCGTTATGATGGGCACATTCCTGGGCAGCCTATCCGAGCAAAATAACAATCTTCGAGGTACCCGCGGGAGCTGATCGCCTGGTCAAGCTCAAGCGTAGCAGATCCGTCCGATTTTCCCCGGTACTACATCGTAATCACTCCGCCAGAGCCAAATTGAAATGCGTACTGCCAATAAGAGAACCTAATAACACGGCGGCGAGAACCAAGACGGCCAAGCGTAACAATTTAGGATGGGATTCTATCATCTCTTGGCGGACCATGGGACGTGCACAAGAAATCGCTGTTGCCAGTTGTGTGTCACGAAACATTCGCCATCTAAAATATTTTGTGTGTTGCCTGTATCGCTCACAGTCGGACAATAACTGTCCTAACTAACTTGACAACCTCATATCAAGATTGACTTTTTTAGCGGCAGTTACCCCTCTTCAAAGGTAGTTCCCCTCGGGGACTTCATTGCTCTTAAAGAACTCTAGCTGACCTCAAATAAGGCTGTTGCAGCGAGTTGTGTTGTGTAAGGTGTTCGCTTTAGTCAGATTGACCAGGCGAGTCCCACCTCTTTTCCTCACTTTTTGTTGCTCGACGTCATATATGCTGCATTTCGTTCTGACGACGTATCCTGTCATCTACACCTCTTTTCTCCCTAGGCAACTTGAGCCATGGTATTGTAGAGGTTAAGAACCATCCGCAGCGACAGAAACTTGACTGAACCTTGAAACTAGTTTTTGATCACAATGCGAGCATATAATAGCCTTGAATGTCTTTGACCTTGCTCCACTGAGTCAGGCTCCGGAGGTTTACTGAGCGATTCCGCTTGACTATTGCCACCAGACATGTCAGACTAAGGACAGAAACTGATATTACAGTGACTATGACCGAAACGCTGAGGTTCTTCAGACCGCCTTGAGAAGCAACCACAAACTTTCAGGGGTCGTCTGACTAACGACGCATTTTTAAATCACTGTCTCGAGCCCCTTTCACATCGGAGCGACGCACAGTTGTCCAGAACAGCAGTTCCCAACCTTTTTTTTTCTGCGAACACCTTATAAAAATTGGAATATATCGGCGAACCCCCTGAGCAGTCGTTAGTGAGAATAAATAAAACAGTCCTATTTGGCTGTTATCAAAATCTACTAATCGAATTAATAATAGTTATATTGAGCAAACTAGATTAAAACATAACAGTAACGTAAAACATTTAGAGAAAGGTTATTAAAACTAAGGGCCGATTTTACCAACATTGATATTATGGACCAGTGGAAAATACCTT